TTTGACTTAATATTTTCCAAAATAATAATTCTTTTTAATTTTCACCTTCGAGAGGCCTTCAAATCACCGAAAAATGTGCTTGATACCCTCGCTTGGTGAATGGAAACGGAAACTAAAACCATGACTTTTCGTATATTAAACAATTTTATGATCCTTCCTTTCTACCTAAACGTTGTTACAATTTCAAAAGATTTCAATCTGATTTTTTAATATTTTTTCAAAATTACCCTCTAAATCAGCATTATCGCGACCATCAATTTTGCCATTTTTCAATGGCGAAAATCCCTTCCTGGTACATGGCTTTCATCAGAAAAATGGTATTCCAGAGAAAGAGCAATGTTTCCCCTATCAATCATTTACGGTACTCGCGTGATCTTGCAGTTGTATTGACGAATACAAGCGAGAACTTAGACAGCACTTGAAACTCTGGCGCAAATTCGCCCCTTTTCCGCCACTTTAAACACCAAAAACGATTTTAGATTTCACAGTGGTAAATTTTCGAAAGGAAAAGCAATTTTATTGTACGAAAGTGTGCTATGAACTTCTTGACTACAACACTTCCCTTGCGTGCGTAATTGTTTACTTTTGTCGTACATATATGTACAAAACGGCTAATAGTGTCGGTATCTCAATGCCCTCATTTCTCATGAACCAAATCGTTATAGCTATAAAAAAGGAAAACATTTTGACCTACCTCACATTATTTGACAACAGACCCGAATCGTTACTGCCTTAAGCGAAACGCGATTGCGTGACAAAGAACTTTGAGACCCAGGTTATATCGCGGAGAAAGATACCATTCCGAAAAAGAAACTCACGCGGCACGTGTTAAGGTTGGTTTAGGGAAGGGATAGGTGGGCAGTTTCCAAGAAGCAGGTATAATGATCCAAGTCGTGGATGATGGGGCGCAAGAAAGACGCAGAAAGATGAAGTAGAGAGGCAGAAAAAATGAGGAAAAACTGACGAAACAAAAGACTGCTGGAAACTGTATATATAGATCCAGGTTTTGATTTTGTAAATACACTGAGGAAGCCCGAAGGGCGAAACGTCTGCATTAAACAGCAAGGCATGTGAGGAAGTTTTTTGGAGATCTTTTTGTCATTCAAGTTTAGATATATACAGCTGTTTCAATAAATGTTGTCGGAAGAAAAGCAAAAAGTTTAAGACAAGACCGAAAGGTAATATGGGATTTTTATAATGACCAGCTACAGGTCCTATAGGAGTTTCGCGGCCATTCAATGGTCCTGAGAACAGTATGGAACGTCTTTCTGTAAGTGAGAGTGTCTCTAAACGTTGGACAACTGTTAAAACAGAGATGGTTGGAGGGCCTTGAAACGGTAGGGAGCTTAAGCAAATAATGGCGACAAAAGAGACAGTGAACAACAATAGGTTGAAATTAGCAAAACAACAACTTAATCTGCACGTGCACTACGCTTTTTTGTCCGTGGCCGTTGTTGCCCTACTGCGGCTTGAAATGTCTCATGTTTTATAGGGGAAGCGAACAGCAGACCCCAATTTTCTTTTCTCTTTTTTCCAACTTAAAACTAGTCCTTTAGAATTCATTTCCAGAGGAATCGCCATCATTTAAAAAATTGAACGAGGTGGAATGAAGGCGATTTGGTTGTCCATACATTCTCACATGCTGGTGTAGTGCAAAATATTACCTGCAGTAGACTTTGGCGAGTTTTAATTTAATTCTTGAGTGGGAACCATTATTCGGAAATAAAATTTACTTTAATATTTTTTTGCCCACTTCGTTAATACGTTATGCAAATTGATAAAATGAAAAATTTAAAGTTATTTCTCCTTGCTAATTAGCTGAACAAAATTGCTTTCAAAGATGGGAATTAACCTGAGATCAGGCTCTATTTTCGTTTCGCTTTGAAAATAACATTCCGGATGGCAAGGCGAAACGAAAATAGCGGTAGCCGTTAGAGATCTAGAGAATGTATGAGAACTGCTAAAATTGGGCCTGATCTCAGGTTAGATGGGAATAAGCAAGAGTACGTACTTTTCAACTGAAACGTAATTTTACCTTGCGCTTTTTTAAAAACTAAAATGATAAGTATGGTTCAGTATAAATGAAGAATAAAAATCAGCGACCAGTTTAGTGGAGTGATTGTTTGCCAGCCAAAGACGGATTTGAAACAACCCACATTACCTTGCGGTCTTGGCCTGAAGACTTTTTTGCTTTTCCTCCCACAACGTTTTTTCAAATAGCTGTATATATACTTTATTTATCAGAACTGTTCGTTACAACAAACAAAGCCTCCGCCATCGCAAGTCGAGTCACACCTCTTGAACACCCGCAGTGTGTCATTCCACGTTGTTGTGCAAGCTTTTACAGACAGCGTTGGTTTAAAACAGCCGAAGACACAAACATTATACCGTAAATCCTCTATTAAGCCCCCGGGGGCTTATTTATTTCAAGCCCATTTGAGGCGGGCGGGGGTGGCTTAATAGAGAAGGGGGCCTTATTTGAGGGTGGGGCTTATTTAATTTAGAAGAGACGATGGTATCAGCTCTCTATAAAGAACTAGAATAAAAAAGTGGAAAAGCTCAAGCACAAGAAGGTTGGAGGTCATGCAGCCGAGGATCAAAAACAAATCCGAATTTCCAGTCGGCAAATAAACCATCCCGGATCAGTCCGCACGAAGTTTTACCGAGTCGTGATTGATTAATACAGTCTAGCATTTACAGATGAAGAATAATTAAGGGAGGGGAGAAGAGGTGGGGGGGGGGGCTTGTTAACTTTCTTCCCTCGAAAAGGGGGGCTTATTAGAGGGAGGGGGCTTATAAATTTGAGAGGGTGGGGGGCTTAATGGAGGATTTACGGTAGTACAAAAAGAGATACATTCGCCACTTTAAAAAGTAGGAGGAAACTGGGGCGAGTTAGCTTTTGCAATAAAGATTTCTTGGATCGTTACTGGGGACGCGTTGGTCAGCTATTCAAGATCAGTTTGCAAACAAATGAGAAAAGCAATTCATAACAATTGACGAGACATAAATCATCTAAGTAGGCACTTATATTTTAAAACGTTTTCCTGTCAGCGGTTAACACATATATTATTAAGGCCATCCTTAACGAGAACACGCATATCAACACACATAATACTGAGCTGAAGTAGTTTCTTGTATTGGTCATGTGAAACAGACCCTCTCCCACCGGAAGCCGATCGGTTTCTGCTTGCACCTGTTTTAAATTCAACAGTCCATTGAGTCGGTAAGAAATCGGACCAAAAAGAAACTGCAAGAAATTCCTAAACGTCTTAGGTAACCTCGAACTAAGAGAGAATAATCTATTTGTCTCTACCAGTTTGGGCGTCCGCTTTGCTCAGCAAACCTAGAATTCATCACCACTATGAATTATTTTCCCAAAGAATTCCATATGACGGATTGGCGAATAAAACTGCTGCATCACTGCTAGTTTAACTGGCAGATAAGCTCGACTGCTTGAATAGACAGAAGGTATTTGGGAATCTTCCCAGGAGGTTCTGGATTGGGGAGTACAAATGTCAGTTGCCAGATAAAATTTTGGCCGTTTGTCAGCTGTCAGTTACATTTAAGTTTTTGCCAGTTGTCAGTTAAATGATTATTTTTGATGCGAAATGGGTTTTTCTCGTGTTTGTTCTTCAAATTCACTGTTTTAGAGATCAGAGTTTTCCTTTGGGACTGGTCGGTTCTCAGTGTTGATACAATTTCTGCAACACTTTAAGCCAGTAACAAACACGTCGATAAGATGTTTTGAAAACTAGAATAAGATTTGTGAATTTGCCCAATTAAGTCAATATTTTTCGGTTTGGATCTATTTTATTGTTGTAGTTTCGCCGTTATCGTACCCTTCTTATGCGCTTTTTTTTAAAGAACCCTACTCTTAATTATTCTTCCCCTTTGGGCCGTTTTGGGGTTCACATTGATTTCTTATGGAGGAATTTAAACGGTTAAGTTTGTGAGGCAAATAAACGTCAGTCCGTCAGTCATACCACTTCCAAACGATCATTTATTGAAAAAAAGCACATGGTGCACAACAATGCAATTTATTGAAAAGTAATTTTAAGGCTATTATTATTATTATTATTAACTACCACGTAAGCGCTTAAGGGAGGTTGTATGCCGTTCCCACACTGCGCAAACGTAGCCCCTTAAAATATGTTATTACTGGGTTCGAACAGAGTTTTGAATCCAAAATTCAAGACTTAGTGCAGACTTTTTTTCCAAAACAATAATTTCTCTTTCCAGACTTAAGGTTATCAAATAGGTGATCCGTGAAAGAGACCTTAAAAGGCGCAGGAACGAAGCTCTTTTCGTGGTGCACTGCAAACATAAGGGCGAGATTGAATAAGATTTGACCAAAACGAATAAAATTTTACCCTTAATGCACTTGTTGTACCTTTGAAAAAAAAAAAATACTTTTTAGCAATTTTTCCAGGCTTTATTTTCTATGTTCCAGACTTTTTCCAGGTCTGCAAAATAGCTGGATAAATTTGAAGACTTTTTTCAAGAATTCAAGACTCTGTACGAACCCTGCATGTGCGTAGGAGGGAGGCTATCATTAATACGAATTCCATATATAATGAAAATGCCGGTACTAACACTTAAAATTTTTAAAAGATAAAAAGTAATAGAAATCAAACCCCGCCTTAACGCTCTAAGCCCCCATATCGACATTTAAATTCTCCAGACCGGTGTTCATACATTTCCTTAGAAGCTCTTTGAGAATTAGCAGGTGATCTTTTTATTGATTCTCATAACCTTTTCTCGATTACTTATTCATATTGTTAGGATAAAATTTATGTTCGTCACTTTTGGCAATTAAAAGTAACTAAGACCACCTTGCCTCGGATATTTTTAGACCAGTTATTCACGGTCCTTGACGGTCGCATTGACAAGCTTCCATCTTAATATGTGAAATCTTTCTAACAAATTCATGCATGCAATAGCTAAGAGAAGTTTAATTTGCTGCGCGGGCAAAAACATTCCACGAAGACATTTTCAAGTAACCGAACGAAGCAGCTTGGTCCCGAGATCTTAGGTACTACCCACTAGGCTAAAATCAATGTTTCTTGGAAAAAGTCTTTCCATCCTGCTATCGGGGCGTTTTATACCTGTAAAACGTATGGAATTGTCGCAAGAAAATTAATAGTAAGACGGGAAGACAACGATCTTATTTCTCGTTTTTCCACTCACCCGGAGCCTCCTTCATCCTTTTGGTGCGCTTTTTGAGCTAAATACATTTTGTCCCGCTTGAGAGCTCGAGTCACGGAACAGACGAGTCCTTCACGACTGAGTGAAAGAAGCACTGCCATTGGGACCAATTCACTTCTACCTTTTCTTTTAATTCTGCAGACTAGCCTTAAATTGTTCTTAAACGTCCGCTGTGTCATTGCTGGCAGCCAACAAAAACGATTTGTCCTGTCCAGCCATATCTTTGTGGGTCGCGCTACGTCAAATACGTGCAGCAAATTAAACTCCTCTTCGCCTCCAGTGACATTAGACCTGGCACACAAAACTAAATACTACTACAAGCTCGCAGAAATTAACGAATTCTTACTACAAGAACGATTCGTATCAACAGTTACAACTGAAGATGAAAAGGAAGCTAGATATCTAATTAAATGTACTCAATAAAGCCCATGATGTTTTGTATTTGCTTATTTACTTTCCTATTAAACTAACAAAAAGTCAGTTCCTTTTTAAAATTAGCCTTTACTATTGCTAATAAGCAATGAAATTGTCTATAATCTTCAAGTCTAACAATACTTATTTCAACGGTTCCGAGAGAGAATCAGTCACTGACTCATATCCTATATTACATGTAATTTGCTGTGCTCTATAGCCTATTAGCAGTTTTCCTGTTTCCATTCCGACTGCAAAATATGACATTTTCTGGGACAACTTTTTCCCTCTTTTTTTGTTGCTCTGGTAATAGTCGGAAGTAGGAACAATAAGTTCAAAAAGCCTTTGCTCTTGAGATTTACCAGACAATGATTATTGCAATACATGAATAAAAACATACGATTACATCCTATATATAAAATGGCTAAAAAGTACCTAATTATTAATACTAACTTCAAGTGACACTGCCACGTCATATAAGACGTTAACTCATGCATAAAATGACTAAAATTTTAGACTTCTCAGAAGTCAATGAGAAACAAAAACAAAAATATTTCATGTGCACATTTCATTAACTGAAAAAATATTTTAATTTACGCACGCATAACGCAAAGTATACACACAAAGTCTCCAGAATTACCCGCAAACACACAACTATTCTCTCTATTCCTAAAGTATTAGTAATCGCTAAATACGTGTTTCATATTTGAAGGCTACTACATACAATAAAACAAAATTTCTATAACCTTTAGGTCTCTCATACTTATTTTAACTGTCACGGACAGACTGATAAAACAATAGAGGGAGAGACTTAAAATCACAATTACAGCAAACGCGGACTCGAGTTGAAAATTTCCCTTATTAGGAAAGGAGAAAATTAAAACTGTCCCGAATAATTCTTATAAATGAAACTGGCGTGAAGCTACTTATTTTTGTTTAGGTATGAAAAACACTAAACGACGACTAATGGGAAAACGTGGGGGGGGGGGCGAAGGTAAATCAAGAGTAGTGTGATTCGTGATAGTTGCAAGTCGGTTTCCTTTATTTAAAAAAATATACAAAAGACCCCCTTGAGCAGGATGAGGTACAACGAGAAAAAGGAAATGTTCGTAATTTAGCTAAAAATTGGAAAGAAAGGCGACTTATGGAAACTATTCAAAAATAGTATTATTTGACTAGTTTACTGGCATTACATTTGGAGCTGAGCCTAATCACATTAATTTTAAGTTGGTTTATGTATAACATTTAGCGGTTAAGTTTATAAGATTTGTGTTGGGCTACGATATTACGTTAAGCGTTAAAGTTTATTACATGTAAAGTTGGTAGCCTACCATCAACTTTCCACCTGCATATCTACCTCTCTGCTTCTAACAAATTTTCTCTGAGATTTTCCCTTTTTCGGCTCTACTCTTTGGCTCGAATACCAGTCGCTGTTTGGGAAATGAGCCCGCGCTCTTTCCCCGGGGAAGCCCGAGAGATCGACGGAAATCGAGCCTACTCTACTCTGTTCCTGATACTTTCATTCTTCTGGCAACGGTCAGAAACATCAACAATCCAAGTCACTGAGCCTTTGGTATTTGAGAGCCATAAACACCAATACTAATCCGTACGTTTACATCGCATACAATAGATTATATAAAAAAGTCTAAGTCTATAACACGCTGTAAATTCAACTCTCTCTGCCAGGCAGAATTAACGGTAACTCAAAATCTTATTCAACCGTTAAAAGCGCTGCAGCACTAAAATTAAATTGTTTGACTTTTGAAGTCAGCCCTTTATATTTGGTGGAGCTGTTTATGAAAAAAACGTCGAAGAACAAAATAAAAATATCTAATACACATAATTATAACTCCGAACAGATGAAAAATTTTTAGGGGATAGAAATATGCCTATATCTACCGTTTAAATACTAAAATATGTTCAACAATGCTATGTTTAAGTGGTTTTGAACTATATTGTCTTTGGGTGCCCCTGAAGCATTCCTATATTGCTATAAAAATAGCCACCGTAGAGAATTAGGTGACAATAACATCTAGTTGCCGAAAACAAATAGTTGTCGACAACTCAATAAATGTAGTCTCGTCCTCCGTGGAGGTTCTTAATTACAGTGTGTACAGAGTACTGTATCACACATCACTGAGTACGAAAAATAAACTGTAAGAACTTCTTTAACAACTTGTTCAACCTAATTCTTCACAAGAACTATTTCAGCCTGCCTCGGAAAAATCACAGGTTCTTATATGTGGGCTTTTACTAAATATATGTCAGAAGAAGTTTTTAAATGGATAGGCGTTATCAGAGTGGTTTTAAGAAGTGCTGGTGCCCTTATGTATATAGAACACTTAACGACGTCGACAGAAAAAAGTGCTTTTCGAAGAGAAGAAGACCGAAATCATGTAATTTCCATGTTATCCATCTACTCCGAAAAATGGCATGAAGCTTATATACTTACTAAGAGCGCAAAACATATGCCAAAACAATGATTGAGGGGCTTCTATGCACTCGGTTTTTTCTACCTGACATTACTAATTTAATTTAACATTACCGGATCCTAATCTATAGAGTAAAAACATTCAAGTTAAAAGCGATTTGGACAACATTTCTGATGTATGGATTTTCTGTACAAGAAGAGTCAAGTCTACACACCTATGATGATTTCACATTCACCCATTCTTCAAGGTCTTTTACTGCATCCATTCTCTCTATCTCCTTCAACAATTCAATCAGTTTTCCAACCGTTGCCTCTTTGCACCTCTTTTTCGACCACTCCTTTAAAATATCATCGGTGGGATTTTCGCATCTCTGATCGATGGCATCTATAACATGCTTTTTAAATCCAACTTTCTCAGCAAGTCCCCTGAAATCGTTAAATGTTAGATTTTTGATGCTCAACTTCGTACAGACTTCTCCATACACAGGATAAGGTATCTCTGTGACTTTAACTGACAGCTTCTTTCTTTGGTTTTCGGTCAGCTCGCTTTGAGCGTCCACAGCATCATGGCCTTGTTCCCCACTTTTCCCTGCAAGTTAAGGGCCAATATAGTTTCAGATGATCGAGAAATAACCTTAAAATGTGAAAGAACTTGGATAAGACCCATCAAGCCATCAAATGAAGTTGGACTTTAACAAGCAGATCGACAAGGCGAGTGTTCGTTAATTATCAGGTTTACGAAATTTCTGGAAATTCAATCTGCGGTCTATTCTGAAAACGTGGAGAGCACAAAAATGTTATTCCTTTTTGTGTTTTACTATCATTTCTAGATTGTATTCATACAGATAGCGAAGTTAAGACAGGTACCACACTTTTTAAAATCACCCCCAAAGTTGAGCTACTTTCGTGTTTTGATGGAAAGCCGAAAACACGTGCTGGGGTAAAAATCATTGGAACTGTGATACGGCTAGGAAATCTACAGTGGTGTACCTGTATGTTAAAAAGAAAATCAGGCTTTTTGAGCTAGGTGTTCGTTTTCTAGAGTGCGGTCAATATTAGCGATTTTTGCACTTTGAACGGCTATGGCGCTGGCGCTGACCGCCCGGAAATTCAAGGCAAGGATCTTGTGCTGTGATTGGCCAACATAGAGGTAACGTTTCCCACTTTGTTCCCGTGAGATTAAATTCTCATTTTATCTTTATAATAAATTGTTTATTGACCATGCCTGTGAGGACAAGATGGCTAGATTTGGTCTCGTTCTTTTATTGTGTCTAGCCAATTAGCTTTCACGATAACAAGTGCTCAAATGTACACTTATGGCCCTGAACTCCTCTGTTATATTGTTAAACTAGGCGGTCACATAACCAAAGCTCACTATCGACAGTTAAGATGAAACTCGTTAGAGGAAGCTAGTAATACAATATTTTGGCTCTTCACAACAGCGCTTGATCGCAAAAGATGCCCATGCGAGTTAACACTTGTCTAATATCATGAATGATCTTTTCTGTCACGAAAAGAAACTCCCTCTTTCCGAGACGAGTGGCATACAAGTACCACAAAAGCCCATTCTCTATCATTTGTAAAGATTCATACTGCAAGTTTCTGAAATTCGGTAGTGTGTAAGAATTTAAACCATTAAGCTTACCTGCAAAGTCATTGAAAGTTGCACCCAACATGACCCTCTCCTCTTCGCCATGCCTCTCCCGAATATCGATTGCTTTTTGAATCATCTCCTTTCCCTCGCCAAATTTGCCATCGGTGGAGACACAAAGGCCATATTTGGAAAGGCATTGGGCGCTACTGTTACCAGTATTTATTTCAAGGTCGCTCTGGATTTTATCAGCTTCCTTAGAGTCATGTTTAACTCTCTTACCAGCTTCAAGAGCCAGATGAGGGGAAAAGAAAGAGCTGGATGCCTCTTTTATCCCCAGTGAAGTGAGACAATCACTCAATCGTTCTTTATCTTGCAACTGTTGGCACTTGTCTTTCAGCATATTAAAAACCACATTGAATCGCTTCCCTCCCATTATCTTGGCAAGTAGCTTGGCCGCTTTGTTGAAAACATCAATACACCTTAGTCTTTGTTCTTCGTCCATGGTGTCACTCTTGAACCAGTCAAGAAGTTGCATGATATTGTCCATGTGCGGACGAAACTCAGTGCAAGCTTTGGAAGCGTTTTTGCACAGGAACCTCTTGTAAGTATCTTCAAGAAAAGAAAGAAAATGGTCGATAAAACGTCTACGGCCATCGTCGTAGATTTGCTGTGCACGTCCTTCTAGGGCCTTATTTTGGCAGTAGAGTTTTTGGACTGTGAGGAGGCTGTAATGGCACAGTTCTTTAGGGCCTAATATGTTCTTTTCTAAAAGAGATCGACGAGCCAATTCTAAAACGTGACCTTCTACCTCATCTGAAGGGAAAACTGTTTTAGCTGTTATCAAGGTGAAATGTCCTCTGAACAGCGCGAGACGAATGAGGGTGTCTCGAAGACTCTGGTCAAGATTGAGAAAGCAAGCGTCCAAACACACGCCTATTTTCTTACTCGAGTCCGTTGTTGGAATTTCCGTTAATTTCTTGTACCGACTCTTTACGTTTGCGTTGGTCATCATTTGCACAAGATCGGGTGGATGGTCTCGCCAAGAAGCCAAGGAAATGAGGGCGAGCGGAATACCACCACAAATTCTCGCTATTTTGTCAGCAATTTTTTCCTCCAGCTCAGGGCAAAAGGTGTTTTTCAAAAGTGTAATTGATGCTTTCTTTTCTAAGGGACACAGTTATAACGCGTTGAAATGTTTCTGGAAAAGAGACTTCCTCTGATGAGGTGACGAGCAACTTGACGTTAGTCGAGGCTTGGATAATTTCTGAGATGAACTTCTTAACTTTCGACCCTTCTATGGGGTCAATCCTTTTGACTTCCGGATGCATGTTGGCTTCGTCATTTCTACCCACTGGCTCCAAGTTCTGAAAGTTGTCCATCAGCAATATGAAGAGGAGATCTTTCTCACTTATTAGCCTCCTTTTAACTTCTGAAGTCGAGTCGTTTGAAGAGGAATGATAGATTTGGTGGTAAATCTTCTCGGCAAAATCATCTAATGAACAGACATTGCAGCAGTTGATGTAGACGACGGTAGTATTATCGTCATTATCTCGAATCTCGTTTGCGGCTTTAATGGCAGTGGCTGATTTTCCCATCCCAACAGCACCATGTACTAACACACAACTGCAGTTGTTTTCTTGGTCTCGGCGAAGATGTGTCTTAATGTCTTTAATGTCTTTCTTGCGGTTGACAAACGTTCGACAAGGGCGCGGAAGATCTGACAACTCTCTAAGGGTGCCTGGGCCTATAAGCAAATCAAATATCATGACCATATAGTCTAACGCAATTTCAAGAATAAATGTGTTATTAATTACTGATAAGTAAACTGCATATTTGGCACAAATACGATTTTATGTTTCATGCCGATTCACGTGTAATATCATAAGCTTCAAGTCACGTTGCATCTTATCTTTTATGTAAGAATATGCCATAAGTATAACCTAAGATAACAATAATTATTCCATATAGAGTTTATCTCATATTTTATCTGGGCGAAGTCCAGACGCCTAATCAGGCGACAAGGGCGGGTCACGTTTTTTACACCCATTTGGCTATCGTTCCACTGCCATTCTGACTTGTGCAGTTCACATTATCTTAGCTTATCGTAACGAAACGAAATAAAGCACACTGACTTTTACTCTATTTTGTGTCCTTGTGTATTTCTGAGGCGATTTGAGCTGGTTTTGCCATTCTGTCATTAAAAGGACACACTTCGGAGCAGGCCGAAGTGTGAGCCTTAAGTCCATTTAATAGAGCACAATCCAGTGTACTTTATTTCGTTTCGTTACAATAAGCTAAGGTAAGGCGATTTTTTTCGATTTTTTACTTTTCCCACATGAACCTTATTAATCGCTTCGTTAAGCATCTTCGTAAGACTTAGAGCTCGCCTGGTGAGTTTGGGATACATGTGCAAATTTATTATCTAAACACGAAGGTCTGGATGAGTTTTGTGATAATTGTTATTTGCCCATTTTAGTGTTGCGCTAGAGGTTTAGGAGCTACAAATTGTACCTTTTAATGCTGAAGTGCCTTGCACTGTTACTTGACTCAAAATGTAAGTGTTAGGTGTTACTGAGACACTCCCACCAACGAATACAAGTAGATGAACATGTTTCCTGTATATTGTGGGTGTGTTCGAGCAACTCGCTCGCTACACGATGAGGTACCAGGAATCTGATTTACATCTTGGCCTTTATTCTTCTTTGACTTCTGCTAACAATCTTAACCTTCCTACTCTTCTAACTCTTTTCTACTTTTCCACTCTTCTCTACTTTTCTCCCTTTTTCTCTACTTACTAGTTCAAGTATAGTAGCGGTTTTTATCGCCAAAGCTGGACATGTTTGGGTTAGCTGACCGGAAGAGTTGCTATTGTATATCTTATCGCCTATATTGCAACAGGTTTGCTATAGTTAGGGAATAGATTAGCCTACGCACAGCCTTAACTGACAAGTACCAAAGAACCGAGGTCACCTCTAACACCACAAACACGACCAACTGTAAAAAAATAACATCTGACAATGTCAAGCGAATAACATTCCTAATATGGCGATAAATAAATTCGCGAGTTAAGCATAAATTCAAGTACAAGAAAATACAAAAGATCAAAACAGGAAAAGAGTACGTGGACAAAAACAAGACTTAATGAAACAAAAACTAAACTTAAAAGATAAGATAGATCCGTCTCAAAAATAACTTTCAAAATACTTCACAACATTCCTAAAAGGGGCCCAACAGTGATTGCCGAGATATGGTGATGGGCTGTCATCGTTCTAGGGTAGCCTAGCCGTAAGGCGGACTGCCAGTATCTACGGGATACGGGTACGAGTAATTTGCCCCTACCCGTACACGGAAACGACATGTTTTAATACATGTGCCACACTCCGGTCTTCCTGGATCTTTTTTCACCACCAGCTGTATTAAAAAGTTAGATTAACACGAACAAAATTTATCTCTTGAAAGAACTTCCTACAAAAGAAATTATCCCCTTATTAGGGGTAGGAAACCATCTATAGATCAAAAATCACTAAGTTATTTCAGCAATAGATGGAATTTTGTTGGTTTACCGACGTAATCAGCACTCGTTAGATGCTGGGAGAACACGAGAATGGTTCGTTCTATTTCTTTAAAAAAAAAAAAATTAAAAAAAATTAAACAAAGGTTTTTCAAACGAAGCATTTTTTCTTCATTTACCTGTTTGATAAACACATGTAGTACCTCCTGTGATTGTAACTGTTCAACTTTGTTACAGTAGACTGAACCCCAGTAGCTCGAACTCGGAAAGCTCGAACTCGCTGCGAACTCGAACTAATTCACATTTCCCTTGGATTTGACCTCACTTTTCAGTCATTTTTATTCGATTAACTCGAATTCCTCGCTAACGCGAACTAAATTTCGTTCCCTTAATCAGAGTTTATTCCGATAACTCGAATTCTGGTCCTTGCAACTCACCACGCATGCCATCGCATTAGCTCGTCTCGTCGTATAATCAGTAAAAACTCTAAAACTTGCACTACAGCAATTTGATTTTGATTAGTGCAAAGAACAAATTAAGTATTTGACAGTCACTTCCCGATCTTATCAGTCAAACCGGATAATCAAAATAAGAATACATAATCGTGTTACTGTTTCTGATAAGATAAGTTTAATTTGCACTGTACTGTGTAAGTGCTGAAAAATCAGTAAACTATCTGTTATTAACATGGCAAATTGAACATTCAATCGACCCCGATAACTCGAACCACCGTTAACTCTTTTCCTTTCAGAGTTCGAGTTACCGGGGTTCTACCGTATTTAGGAAATATGACACCTTTATCACCGCTGACTGTAAAAACAACCCCACTAAATGCAATACCAACCGTCGACGCAATAAACTTAAGAGGTTGTCTGCTTACCGAACGGATAAGACAAATTTTTGTCATTCACCGATTTCCCTAATTTTTTCAGTGGCAGATAAACATCCTATCCCATAAACAAATATCACATTTATTTGGACCTCATACGTGACAAAACTGCCTTCGGAAGGTCTGCTATTTAGCTGTACAATTCAGGCACTGCGGCCGGATCTTTAGTAATCAGGGGCGTAGCCAGGATTTTTTCAGAAGTACGCCAGGAGCCCATAACCCAGAGCGAGCAACTTGTATGGGCTTGTGTCACGGCGTTTTCACCGACCAGTTTATTTTTAGAACGGTTTTGGTGCGAATTTTGAATATCTTTAAAGTTTCACAAACCAGTCAGCAAAACTTGCAGACCGAAAAATGATATTTTTTGCCTTTTAATAACGTTTAGTTTTCTTTTTTGATATCTTATACTTCGAATGCGCTCATATATAGACATGGTGGAGATTCTATTTTCGCGGGAAAAAGTGCCCTAAAATGTGTCTAAAAATAAACTGGCCCGTAAAAACGCCATGACATAGACCTAGTATGGGAGTTGCTCGCTTTGGTTTATGGGCTCCTGGGTGCGCACAATTCTCCAAATCTCTTTGCACCTAGCCTGTTCACAGACCTTCTATTTTCGCTTCAAAGTCTGTCGAGCGCGGGGGATAAAATATAAACCGCGGGGGATTTATTGACCGCCAGAGCAAGGGGGTAGTGGTGGGGAAAGAAGAAAATAGACGGTCTGTAGACATCTTTGGGAGCAACTGAAACTTGCTTTTCCCAGGAAAAGCAAATTATCATTGGCTGAACGGCGATTATCCTGTCATCATCATGTCAACGACTCATCACGCTCGCGTCATGAGTAGTAGCGTTTGTCATTGCCTGAACGCGCTAACCGCGACGCTTACTATTGTAATTTGCATAAAAAAGTAACATCGATTGAAAGCGCCGACGACTTCTGAACTTGGGATGGAGTCATACTACAAGCTTGTGTTGACCATGTTGACCATAACTATCTTTTGTATCGGAGTTTAGACTATGGAAACCGTGCTTGACGACTGTTTGGTACAATTTTCAAGCAAATACGTGCTCAAAGAAGAGCAGCGCCAGGCTGTTTTGAGTTTACCGGAGCAAAAGGATGTTGTGGTGGTTCTTCTTACGGGTTTTGGGAAAACTTTAGTTTAGGAGTTGTTCGCGGCAGTGAAAATCAAACGAAGAGAAAACAACGTGGAATTGTAGTTGCATCACCATTACAAAATATTATCAATTATCAAGTTGAAGTAACGAGAGAAGCTGGCATTTCAGTCATTGCATTACTTTGCCGCGGAACCATGAGGTGATGCGCACATTCCGTTTTTTTAAAAACCGAAAGCAATCATCGTCGTGCTCGCTTTCTTGAAAGCTGGCTTTAATAAAAGCAAATCCAGCTCGGGTGCTTCTAACCTGATTACTGCAAGGCGAACGAATTAAACCCTGCTTCACTGATCTTCTGTTTGCAAAACGGTAAAACCAAGATCTCATAAATCGTCCGACAGCTTTCGGTTTGTAACACCTTGACGAACACTTTCAAAAAAAGATTCTCTGTAGCTTTACGGGAAGGGGATGATTGCCCAGTACTATTGCTGTATACAAAGCACCCACATATCCTACAATAATCCGATGTGTCGATTTGTTTCGGCTTCGGACCTCTTTTAGCTGGCTTTTTAGGCGTAGAAGCAGTCTAAGGAGGGTCTAAGAAGACATGCTTCAACAAACACGCGACTTCGAGTGTCATTGTTGTTTGATTCTAAAATACTTACGCCAATTA